CTCTCGGAATCGCATTCCGACGCCGATATCAAAAAGTCAACCCCCCGGTCGAGCTTCCCAAAAATTCGACTTTCGCCATTTCAAGCCTAAATTGGCTACAAACCTCAGATTCACAGTCTGGACACGCTCCTAAGTCCAAAATCACCCAATGGAGCTAACGGAACCGACATAAATTTATTCCGAAGTCGTCTTCATATAGTTCTGACTACGGTAAAAATTTTAAGACTTAAGCTTCAATCTCAGGGACTAAGTGTCCCAAATCTCTCCGAATCATCCGTAAATCAAACTCAACCACACACGCAGGTCATAATATATATTGCGAGGCTGCTCGAGATCTTAAGTCACTGAACAGGGCGTAAATTCTTAAAATGACAAGTCGGGCCTTTATAGGTATTGACTTCATGTCGCAAATATCTGTGTGAATTAAATCTAAAGGATTGGATTCCTTTTAATTGACTTATAAGGATGTTTAACATACTTAGATTCCACACATATTTGACATTTCGTTTTGTCGCATTCAAACTTAGGCAATACTTCCAAATTAATCATTTTTCATAAGGTTTTATAATTGACATGTCCCAACGTATATGCCATAAATTATTTGACTCAAGTAAGTAAGAAGAAGCTAAAATTTTATTATTGTCAACAACCATTACATTCAGCTTGAAAAGGCCCTCAGTAAGGTAACCTTTTCCTAAGTACATCTCGTTCTTACTTATTACAACTTTGTCTGAAATAAAAACACACTTAAACTCGTTTCTTGACAAGAAGTAAAATAGAAACTAAGTTCTTTCTTATTTCAGGAACATGACAAACGTTGATCAGAGTCACCACCTTGCTAGAGGCCATCTTCAGGAATATCTTTCCATAACCTTCAATTTTGGTTGTTGGAGAATTTCTCATAAAAATGGTCTCGTCGGGTCCAGCGGGAGCATATGAAGCAAATACTTTTAAATAGCACAAACATGACATGTGACTTCAAAATCAATCCACCACACCTTAGTATTTCCAACTAAGTTGCATTCAAACAACATAGTGCATAAGTCATCAATATCATCATTTATTTCAACCATATTTGCTTGACCCTTTTTCTTTTCTTTCTTTGGAGCACGACATTCTACAGCTTTGTGTCTACGCTTTTCATAGTTGTGGCAGTTTCTCTTGAATTTATTCTTGCTAGGATAGTTCTTTGGTCCAGAAGACTTCTTCCTCTTTTTCGGGTTAGTTGGAGCAGTCTCAACAATATTCGCTCCCATAATTGTTGAGTTTCTATGTGTCTTCTTTTCTGCAGCTTTATTGTCCTCTTTGATCCTCAATCGAACGATGAGATCTTCGAGTTTCATCTCCTTGTGCTTGTGTTTCAAATAGTTCTTAAAGTCCCTCTATAAAGGAGGAAACTTCTCAATCATTGCTGCAACTTGAAATGCCTCATTGATGATCATACCTTCAATGAAAAATTCAAAATTAGTAACAAAATTAATACTTTCAATAGAAGCATTAGTTTGGATTATACCTTTAGCAAGAAGATCATGAATTATAACTTGCAGCTCTTAAATTTGGGTAATGATAGGCTTGTTGTCTACCATCTTATAGTCCAAAAACTTGGCTACAACAAACTTATTCAAACCGACATCCTCGGTTTTATACTTCTTTTCCAACGCATCCCATAGTTCTTTCGAAGTTTTCACATTACTGTAGACGTTGTAAAGATCATCTTCCAGTCCATTAAGAATATACTTCTTGCATAAGAAATCTGAGTACTTCCATGCCTCAGACACAATAAAACGTTCATTTTCAGGAGTTGATTCTGGCAGAACCAGAACGTCTTCTTGATGAACTTTTGTAGAATAAAAGTAGTCAAATAGAAGAACATCTTTTATTGTCAACGTTTGAAATCAATCCCGAAATTTTTTTCGGACTTTTTCGTCGGAACCGGTGGTGGCACAGAACGACTGAAAGAAGCAACATTGCTCGTAGAGCCAACCACGGGGTTCCTGTTTCTGTCATTTCTGTTAGTCACAAAACAGAAACAAAATTAATTAATGGTGAAGTGTTTAAAATATTCGAACCGAATAAACTTTAACATAAACAGATTAAATACCACGGTGAAGATTTTATATCTTCTAATTGAATACACAACGAGTAAAAAATCACAAAAATTTTAATCTCGTAATTGAGTAGAAAGTCCCAAGGAGTAGAAAATCTGAAGGTTTTAGTCTCCAAAATGAGAGTAGAAATTATTAGTATTTAGTCTCCCACAAATAGAATATAAGATGAATACAGAAAAAAAATATTAAGTTCCTTAAGCTTGTTAGTAATCTGTATTCGAAAATATATTCAAAATACAGTAGCAACGTAAAACCAAAAATTTAGAAGAAACAGAAAATTAATCCACACTGACTTCACAGTGTACCCTTAAGGAACTTAATCCTTTCGTAGTACCCGAGGTTTAGGATTATTTTTTGCCAGGATAGAACGGATTACCCTCACTAGTGTAGCGGTACTTCAAACCCCAGTGACCAACGAACTCAAAGATCAGTAGCAAATCACACTTACGACTTTCTTTATGTTAAAAATAATGCAGAAGGAAGAAGGAAAAATCAGAATTTTCGTAAGGAAAATCTGAGGGAAAGTTCATGTATTTATAGCCAAAACGTTGGGTAATTCTGAAGAGTTGCAACTCTTCATGTAAGGCTGCAACTCAAAATGGTTGTTTTATAAAACGGTCATTTACGCAAACCGTCAAATTTAAATTCTAACGGAAAATTCAAAATGGAGGAAAAATAATTTACCGTTACAAAAAATGGCAATTTGGATTAAATTAATATTACGTTAATCTTAATATTAACAAATAAATTTGGTTTTAAAAAATTATTCAATCAAATCATTTGACCAAATCCGAAGCTGAAACCGAGCGAGCGACGATGACGGCGCGAGGCTTGCCTTCTTTTCAACTCTTTAAGAGCTAGAAGAAGTGCAATTATATATATACCCATCAAAACACTTTTCCTCCTCCAATATAGAATAATGTCCCTTTATCAAAGAGGGAAATTCAAAATTTTTATTTTTTCCTCCATTTCCCATTCACTCTATTTTAAGCTCTAACAAGCTTAAACCCAACAGAAGTTTGGAGTTGTCCCAGTTGTTATCCTCCACAAAGTCCTTGACTTGTATAATTCCGAAATTAGACAGGGTATGATTGAACTTGGCAAGATGGCCTAAACCTGTCCTATTATCCCACAAAAAAAGAGAGTTACCATTATCGATTTTCCATAGCATATGTGGCTCTGTGCACTTCTTGATCTCCATCATCTCTTTCCGACTTTGGGATTTCCCAGAACTCCACTTTCTAGCAACAATATTAGCCCTTTACAGTACTAGGTTTTTAAAAAGTTAGTCTAGAGATTATCTTGGGTTCTAAGTCTTCACCACTTTTTCATGGCAAAAGAGGTCTTGATGTCATTAAGTCTCTTAAAGCCAATTCCTCTCTCATCCTTAAGATAACAGAGACTACTCCAAGAAACCCAATGGTATTTCTTCTTTCCCTCATTGAAACGCAGTAGAAATCTGATAGATATTTCTCTATCTGATCCAAAATAGCTTTTGGTGGGGCAGTGGCAGCAAGAAGATGCATAGTTTGAGATTGAAGAATCCGTTAAATGAAAATAACTTTTCCCCCCATAGGATAGTAGATTACCTTACCATCCACCTGCCTTTTTAAAGACTTTGGTAGTTATATCCGGGAAGGGATCAAATCTTTTTCCTCCTGACATATATAGGACAACCTAAATATGTAAAAGGAAATTTTTTGTGTTTGAACCCAGTATTCTTATTCATCCTATTCCTGATGTCGCTATCAGTATAAGGTGTTGTGAGGAAGCAAGTTTTATCAATATTGATCTTTTGTCCTGGTACAAGCTCATATCTTCTCAGCTGCCTCATGGTGATTTTCAAAGATCTCTTATCCCAGTAGAAAAAAAATTACCACATCATCTGCATAGGCCAAGTGATTGATCTGAGGGACCTAGAGGCATATTAAACCCTACATACTTATTCTTCAAGTAGAGCCTGTGGAGCATAATTGAAAGAATCTCAGCCGCAATGACAAAGAGAGCTGGAAATAGTGGATCTCGTTGTTTAAGACCACTGTAGAGTTAAAAAAATCCCTTTCTATTAGTTGCATCCAAAATGGAAAGTCAGTAAGGTAGAGGTAGAGAACTTTAATATGTATGGACATGATTTAAGAGGTTTGTTGATATTCAAAGTCCTCAATTAAAGAATCCTGATCCAATTTTTAGGATCAAATTCCATCAAGAACCAGGCTAAATCTGAATTTATTTTATCATATGAGGATTTGGAATAAAACCAACCAAAATTTGGTTTGGTTCTAAAAGATAGAGCTCATGATCGCACCATCTTTTTCCTCTTTATCTCTTTATTTTCTCTCTTCTTTGTGAGCATAGTCCTTTTCATAAGAAGGAAGGAGTAGAACTTGAAGTTGTTTTAATCAATCGAATAAAGTAGCTAGAATACTGTTGTTCAAACTTGAAATTTTGCGAATTTTTGTCATTCAAGTCAGCTGACAATCGACATATATATATATATATATGTATATATATATATATAGCCTACAGTCACCGCTTGTCTAGACACCCTCCATTTTTTCTTAAGTTTCGAAATTTCCCATTTAATACAATAAAAAGTATAGTATTATGCGTTTCTTTAGCAACATTGTCGTCCAAAAAACTAACAAAAATTACAAAGATGATTTATAGGGACGTAATTTTGTCACAAAATAATTTGCACACTTTACTTGTCACCAGGGGTTTGCGGACAAATTTCTTGTAAGTCTTGAGAGATCCAGTTAATTCATCAAGAAAAATTCTCTCTTTATCATTTTCTTTACTTTTTAGCGTTTTCCCTTTCTGTTCATCATTCATAACCAACCATAGTCTTAAGACCATAGACAAGTCCAACAAAATCCACAATTAATATGCTTATGAAACAGAAATTGATAGTACATATATTAATAAACCTCCAAAATACATATATAAAATCAATTGTGCTTTACGATCCTGCTATTTTATATTGCAAGTTCGCTTATTTAGAACTGGTAACATAACACAATTGACAAAGTGATCATAAACAAAAATTCATGCAAACGCCAAAATGACTAACATAACAAAAGCCGAATGAGGATTAATAAAATTAATCGGGTACTTCGGCTTAGCAAGTGAAGCCAGTAGGAGGATTCCTACCGCAGTTGTTGAGAACAAGGCTAAGAGAGAGTGGCACATTCAGATTTATTCCCAGCACGTTTGCCCTTACAGCTGTGCACAAGCAAACTGCCGCCTCTAAATCCGCCAGCCCCGCGATCAAGCTGCAGCACGGCAAAGTTGGTGGAGAACCCACTATCACTCCCACCAGTCCGCCAAGTAAATTTGCACATACCCCCAACTTCAGAGCATCTCTCGGGCACCTGCCTTGTCCATTGCCACCTCCGCCGCCATTGCCCGAAGCACCTCCGTTGCTGGAGCCGCCACCATTGCCCGAGCCACCAGTGTTACCACCATTGCCACTACCATTACCGGTGCTAGGAGGATTATGATGACAAAAGCCACAATCAGTTCCACTGACTATGACAAAGAAAAGGAGATTCAATGAGAGGAAAAGGGTAACTGAGGCTCTTGTTTTGGAAGCCATGATATAAGGAATCTATGGCAGAATTTCCTCCCTACAAAAATTGTAAAGAGAAGTAATTGCAAAGATGAGATGGTTGAATTGTCTCTAACGTAGGGTATTTATACTGCTAGGAGGATGAATAATTTACTAACAATCCCTCCTAAGCTTAGGGGGAGATATTAAACTAGTAATGTGTGTGGTGCATGGTGTTGAAAAAAAAGTGTCATTGTTACCAACTCTCAACTCTTAGATGATTTGTAGTTTACAGCTCCTCTGCTGCCTTCATAGCTAGGGAACCTTCTGTTTCCCATTCTGCTTTCCTGTTTTCCATTACTTAACCAAATTATTAACCTCCACATTAGGAGATCGTCAATATCACAGATATCAGGGTAAGGGTGGAACTAGTATGTAGATTACGGGTTCGGCCTCGACCGGGCGGCTGCTAGGTTTTATTGTAATTATGGCATAAGCATAAGCAAAGTGTAGACTTTGTTGGTAATATTCTTTGGGACCCAAAAATATTGTATTATGTGGTGGACATCATTTGCATAAGTTGTATCTCTTCTTTTACACCTAAGAGGCGAAGACTTTTTTGCCTATAAAAGAGAAGGCAATTAGTTTATTTTAGACACACCAACAAGATTTGAGTCTTCATTTCTTATTTCTTCCTTTCTTCCTTTTTAAGAGTATTTTGTATTAGAGTTAGTGTTGGGAAGTACTTGTGTGAACCCTTTTTTTTGGAGTGATCTTGTGAGGTTATTCTCATAGGATATTTGGGATTAATTAGAGTGTTTACTCTAATTTTGTACTCTCTTTTGTACTCTTATTGTTATAGTAAAATTGCTCCTCTCCGCTTGTGGACGTAGGTCACACTGACCGAACCATGTTAAATTGGTGTCATCTTTATCCACTTTAATTATCGTTGTTATCAACTTCCATTGTCTTTGTTATTGCCATTATACCGTAGTTTGGCTATATTCCGCACTACCCAGGTTCCTGATCCTAACAAATTGGTATCAAAGCCGGATCTAACCAGGTTAGTTTCAATAGCCAAAATGACTCTAACAAAGACCTATGTTGAGAAATTTGCCCGAAGTGCAAACTTCGAAATGTGGCAATTAAAGATGGAAGTTATCCTAATTTAGGATGGCTTAGACTTGGCGTTGCAAGGAAAGGAGAAGAAACCGGATAAAATGACGGATGAGGAGTTTGCTGTCATAGATAAAAGGGCAAAAGCAGGTATCATTTTAAATCTCTCAAATGAGATTTTACGTGAACTTTCTGAAGAAACCACTGCCAAAGGCATGTGAAAAAAATTGAAAACCTTATTGTCACGACCCGAAATTCTCACCTCCGGATCGTGATGGTCCCTAACATTTCACTTGCTAGGCAAGCCAACGTTAAAATAACATTATCCATTTTTAAAATAACTTTTAAATTTGATAATAACAAGGAAGCAAATGCGGAAGCAATTTTGAAATAATCCATAATAATAACGATGTCTAAATACCATCCCAGAATTGGTGTCACAAGTGCACGTATTTCTAGAATAAATATAAATAAAGGTCTGAATAAAGTAAGGCTGTCTGGAAATAAATACACAGCTAAAGTAAAATAGACGGGGACTTCAGAACTGCAGACGCCATACAGTTATACCTCAAGTCTCCTCCGAGTAGCTGAAATCCGAGCAAGTCTATGGTATGCCACCGGGACCAACTCCAAAATCTGCATAAGAAGTGCAGAGTGTAGTATCAGTACAACCGACCCCATGTACTAGTAAGTGCTGAGCCTAACCTTGACGAAGTAGTGACGAGGTTAAGGCGGTTCACTTACATTAACATGTACGCAATATTAGTAACAACAACAATAATAGGAATAAATCAAGTAATTTATTTATAATAATTGAAGGCAACTCAACAGTCATAACCAATTATCATTTTTATTATTTCTGTTGCATCGTGCAACCCGCTCTCACAATATATCCACATTCAGTTCTATTGCGGCGTGCAACCCGCTCCTCCAACATATTCATTTTAATCAAGTCTGTTGCGGCGTGCAACCCGATCCTCCAATATTAACTTTTTAACAAGTCTGTTGCAGCGTGGCAACCCGATCCTCCAATATTGACTTTTAATAAGTCTGTTGCGGCGTGCAATCCGATCCTCCAATATTGACTTTTAATAAGTCTGTTGCGACGTGCAACCTGATCCTCCAACATATTCATTATAATCAATCATGTTGCGGCGTGCAACTTGCTCCTCCAACATTTTTATTTACCAATTTTTATAGAAGAAAATTTCCCAATAAATGTAACAATTAATATAAAATTACGAGACAACAAGCATACAATAATTATGGTTTAATTATGAAGCAAACAATGACAAATAGCAAATTATTATGGAAATCAGGGAACAAATAGGCAGTTTATTATTTATTATGCTAAATGTCAAATAACAATTGAGGCACATAATTCGAATAGCATGTAACAATTAATGCAGAAATTCAAGAATTTATATTTGCAAAGAATAAGAGCTAAATAATTATTATAATAATTAATTTATGATTAAAAATAATTTATGATTTTTCAAATAAGCAGGCAAATAATTAATTTGACGACGTATAGACAATCGTCACCTCGCCTATACGTTATTTACATGCAATTCACATAACAAATAATTTAAAGGTTCTATTCCCTCAAGTCAAGGTTAACCCCGACATTTACCTCGCTTTGCAAATTCCAATCAATTATTCAACCACAACTTTTTCTTTTAAATTTGCCTCTGAAAGCTTCAAATCTATTTACAAACAATTTGATATATTCAATACGAATCATAAGAATTAATTCCATATGAATTTATAATTTTTTCGGATAAAAATCCAAAATTCATTAAAATATTCGGCAGTGGGATCAACGTCTCAAATCCCGAAAAAACTCGTGAAATCCGAACACTCGTTTCGATACGAGTTCAACCATATCAAATTTGTCCAATTCCGATATCAAATGGACCTTCAAATCCAAAATTTTCGTTTTTGGAAAGTTTTACAAAAATTTCAATTTCTTCCATCTAAATCCGAAATAAATGATGAATATAGACATGGATTTGCGAAATATAATCACTTTATGATAAAGAACACTTACCCAGTTCAAAGACGTGAAAATCCTCCTTGAAATCGCCCAAATCCGAGACTTAAAACTCAAAAATGAGTAAAAATGGCTAAGACCCGATTTTATGTATTCTGCCCCAGCATTTTCGCATCTGCGGTGCCTGGGCTCGCACATGCGAGCTCGCATCTGCAAGTGAAATCTCGCATCTGTGAAAAGGGGTTGCCAGGCGATGTTCCGCATCTGCGGACAAAATGTCGCACCTGCGAAGGCCGCATCTGCGATGGATGTCTCGCTTCTGCGAGCTCGCACCTGCGGTCAAAAATCCGCAGGTGTGATTATAACAGAAGGCAGAAATACAGATTTTGCTTAAGTCCAATTCTTGATTCAATTTCAATCTGTTTCACTCTCGGGGTATTCGGGACCCCGTACGAATATACCTACAAGTCCAATAACATAATGCAGACTTACTCGGGGTCTCGTATAACGTAAAACAACGCTGAAATTACAATTCACACCCCGATTCAAACTTTGAGTTTTAAACCTTTAAATTTTCAAATCTCATGCCAAAATATATTAAATGAATCCGGAATGACTTCAAATTTGGCACACAAGTCATAAATGACATAACAGAGTTATTCAAATTTTCAGAATCGAATTTCGGCTCCGATATCAAAAAGTTAAACCCGTGGTCAAACTTGGAATATTTAGCCTTTAAATTGCTAGTTCCGTTAAATGGTCATAACTTGAGCTAGGGACCTCCAAATTAAATTTCGGGCATACGCCCAAGTCCCAAATCACGATATGGAGCTACCGGAACTGTCAAAACACTGATTCGGGTCTATTTGCTAAAAATGTTGACCAAAGTCAACTCACTTGAATTTTAAAGCTCTATTTCCCATTTTAATCCATTTTTCACAAAAAAACTTTCCGAAAAATTGTACGGACTGTGAACGTAAGTCGAGGAATGATAAATGGTGCTTTTCGAGGTCTTAGAATACATAATTACTTATTAAATTTAAAGATAACATTTTGGGTCATCACATTCTCCACCTCTAAAACAAACGTTCGTCCTCGAATGGAGTTAGAAAAAGTACTTGAGCTGGAGAAAAGGTGTGGATATTTACTCCGCATGTCCGATTCGAACTCCCAGGTAGATTCCTCTACCGGCTAACCTCTCCATTGCACCCGAACTGAAGGATAACTCTTTGACCTCAACTGTCGGACCTGCCGGGCTAGAATAGCCTCCGGCTCCTCCTCGTAAGTCAAATCTTTGTCCAATTGGACTGAGCTGAAATCTAACACATGGGACGGATCACCATGATATTTTCGGAGCATAGACACATGGAACACCGGATGAACCGCTGATAAACTAGGTGGTAATGCAAGCCTGTAGGCTACTTCACCCACCCTTTCAAGAATTTCAAAGGGTCCGATATACCTAGGGCTCAACTTGCCCTTCTTTCCAAACCTCATTACACCTTTCATAGGTAAAACTCGGAGCAATATTTGCTCTCCAACCATGAATGCAATATCACAAACTTTACGGTCAGTATAACTCTTTTGCCTAGACTGAGCTATGCGAAGTCGATCCTGAATAATCTTGACCTTATCCAAGGCATCCTGTACCAAATCGGTACCCAACAACCGAGCCTCTCCCGGTTCAAACCAACCAACTGGCGATCGGCATCGCCTTCCGTATAATGCCTCATATGGAGCCATCTGAATGCTCGACTGGTAGCTATTATTATAAGCAAACTCCGCAAGTGGCAAGAATTGATCCTAAGAACCTCCAAAGTCTATAACACAAGCGCGGAGCATATCTTCTAATATCTAAATAGTGCGCTCTGACTGTCCGCCTGTCTGTGGATGAAATGCTGTACTCAACTCCACCTGCGTTCCTAACTCACGTTGTACAGCCCTCCAGAAATGTGAGGTAAACTGCATACCTCG